TTTGATAGCTAGTACAAAAGCTAGGAACCTTTGCAAAATAGGGCCTGAGCCACAGGTAATGAAGTCTGCAGCCTTTTGCTGTAAGCTGCTCTCGACCTGGTCTTGTCATTGGTTTATTATTTGAATCAAGGCCTCATGTAGCTAAGGAACATCTTGAATTTATGATCCTCCTGGTTCCAGCTCCTGCATCCTACAAACACAGACAGGCACCACCACACCTAGTTTATGTAAAGGTGGAGATTGAACCCAGGACTTCATGTATGCCAGTTGAGCACTCTACCACCTGAGCTCCATCCCTAGCCCCCATTTGTTTGTCATTACATTTATTGGCAGGGGGCACACATGCCAGAGTACCCATGTAGATAGAGGTCAGAGAACAACCCTCAGGGCTCTGTGATCTCCTACTATGTGGGTCCTGTGGATGGAACTCAGGTTGTCAGGTTAGTGGGGAGTGCCTTTACCTGCTGGGCCATCTCCCCCACCCTCTCTCCCCTTTCTTTTGTTAAATTAGTTCTAATTATAGCTCAGGATGGCCTGCAACTTAACTGCAGTTTTCCTGCCTCAGCCTTCTGAGTGCTAGGATGACAAGCTTGAGTGATCATTCCAGGCTCAACCTCCTGTATCTTGGACCCCCTCAGCTTTTATCACTTGGCCAGGGCTGGCTTGTAAGGTCATAGTGTGGGCATCCCTAGTCTCGTTCTTTCTCATGTCAGGCAGGGCTCCTACTTGCCTATGACTCAGGAGGATCTTATCCCTGCCTGTCTGATAGCCAGACTGCCTGTCAGTCCTCTGAGTCATGCCCTGGCCAGCTGGGAGGGGCGCTCCTAGAGATGGGTCAGTGTGTTCTCTAGGGCACCTGCGGCATGCAGCAGAGGAAGAGTCGGCACCTGGAGAAAGATGAAGAAGACGGCATGGGGCATGGCTATTCTGTTCCCTCATGGATAGGAACAGACAAGGGCTCAGGCAGCCGTCCTGTTCCTCGGTACATCCTCTGCCCTTGGGCATTTTTACTACTGGGTAGTGCAAGGATAGCACTGGCTTTGAGACCAAATGAGCATGGCTTAGGACCCAATTCTGACAACCACCAGCCATATGTGGCCTTGGGCCTGTACCATCACTAGTTAAGAGAAAGAGTGTCACCTCAGGATGCAAAGTGAAGACCTGGTCCAGCATTTATCACTACTCACCTGCTTGACATTGTCCACACCAGCCCTGTCTATCCCTCTGGATACTTCCTTTCCCATCCACCCCCTGTGGTGGTTTGAATAGGTTTGGCCCCACAGACTTGTGTATTTGAATGCTTGGCTCATAGGAAGTGGCACTATTAGGAGGTGTGGCCTTGTTGGAGGAAGTGTCACTGTGGGGGCAGACTGTGAGGTCTCCTATGCTCAAGTTACACCCAGTATAGCACAGTCTCCTGCTGCTATCTGCAGATCAAACTGTAGAACTTTCAGCTCCTTTTCAAGCACCAAGCCTGCCTTTACACTGTCATGCTTCCCACCATGACCACAATGGACTAAACCTCTGAAGCTAAGCTAGCCCCAATTAAATGTTTTCCTTTATAAGAGCTGCCATGGTATGCTGGCAGTGGTGGCGCACGCCTTTAATCCCAGCACTTGAGAGGGAGAGGCAGGCGGATTTCTGAGTTCGAGGCCAGCCTGGTCTACAGAGTGAGTTCCAGACAGCCAGGGCTACACAGAGAGACCCTGTCTTGAAAAACAAAAAAACAAAAAACAAACAAACAAACAAACAAACAAAAAGAGTTGCCATGGTCATGGGGTCTCTTCACAGCAATAAAACCCTAATTAAGACATTAACTGTTGTCTCTGGCCTCTGTCCTAGAGCAAGGACTGTCACAGTGAAGATACTGACCTTTGCATTAGAGACCCTAGTGTAGCCACCCATACCAGTTGAGGGCCTAGACAAAGCTCTTGGGAGACACAGGCCAGTGTCCCACAGACACTTGTGAAGTGGTCCCAGCTCTCTAAACTCTTCTCTTGACTCCTACAACCTCAGTAACATCAAGAGGCTCTGAGGGGAGTGGGCCAGCAGACGTAGAGCTGTGTGTCTCCAGAAGCCACTCCAAACACCTGCCTCTTCTGAGGTCACCAATTTCTGTTCCTGACACCAGACAGACCTGAGGTGAGCTGGAAGGGGCTGTGTTGGCTGCGTCACTGAGAAGTGTCACTGCCCCACCTCTTACTTTGGAATGTGACTCTTATCTATACCTTTTGTGGTGTTCTTTGCCCCCACTCCCTAGGCAGAAGTGCCTAATCTTATCTGTTTTGTTCAGCAAGAGACACAAGGCCTGGCTTGGGTTGACCCAGGACAGAGATGACTCAGCCTTGGTCCTGCCTTCTTGGGGTTCACAGATAGGTGACCATTACAGAATGAGGACAGGGTTCTCCAGGTAGGACACCTGTGGACACTGGAGCAGTCTGAGGACTTCAGACTTGAAAAGTTCTGCAGGTGAGTTGCTCTCTCCCACCTTCTGTCCCTTGTAAGCCACTAAGAATGGCTGTGTTCTCAGTGCCACCTGAGACTTCTTGGGGAGTGAAGTCTCTCCTTGCCCCTCTGGCCGTAAACTTGGAGTTGGACCCCAGCCAGTGAAGACCACAGAGGCTTCTCCAACTACTCTTTCCTCTGCCCTTTGCTGTAGGCAGAAAGCCTGGAAACCAGGCGGAGGCGGAAGAGGCTGAGACTGGGTCAACAGACAGCAGAGATGGCTTCAGATGTCATGGTGTGCCCCAGGGAGGGGGCAAGGTGACCTGAGCGCCAGATCAGAGCTACCCTCATGTTCTCCTCAAAAAGCTCTGCCTGCAGTCACAACACTTGGGAGGTGGAGGCAAGGAGGTTAGAAGGCATCTGTGGCTACGCATTGACTGAGGTCAGCCTGGACTACTTAAGACTGAGACCTTGTCTCAACAAACCAGCCAGGCAGCGGCAGCACACACCTGTAATACCAGGCAGAGGCAGGCAAACCTCTGCATTTGAGGCTAGCCTGGTCTACAGAGCAAATTCCAGGACAGCTAGGGCTACACACACAGAGAAACCCTGTCTCTAATAGTGGTGTGTCACAACTGTAGTCCCAGCACTATGGAGGCAGAGGCAGGAGGATCATTGATTTGAGATGAATGTAGACTACATACAGAGACTCTGTCTCAGAAAGAGACTAAGATATAATTAAAAGGAACTCTCTCTCACGCCGGGGTTTTCCTAGATAAAGGAGGACTAGGGACAAGGTGGATCCATCCCCTGGTCTTTTGTCACTCAGTGTACCCTGTAAAACATGTATAGTTCATGAGTGGTGGCACACACCTTTAATCCCAGCACTTGGGAGGTAGAGGCTAGCCTGGTCTACAGAGTGAGTTCTAGGGCAGCCAGGACTACACAGAGAAACCTGTCTTGAAACACACACACACACACACACACACTCACACAACCCAAAGCAAGCAAACAAACAAAATCCCGTACACAGTTCACAGACTTAAAGGTGTTTCCATATGAAATTGGAATGGCTCCTGCTGTCGATGTCACCATCTGGAATGTTTGACCCTGGACAGTGATGCCGAGCCCCGCCCCCTCCACGCCCCTCTGATCCCCTGGTTCCCACGATGGTTGGGTTCCCATGGGCAGTACCTAAAGACCTAGAAAATATCTTCTATACTTAAACAAACAAACAAACAAACTGTGTAACTGCCTAAAGGAGGTGATGTCAGCTTTGCAAACCACAAAACCAAAGGCTCTGAGATGGGTATGGTGGCACATACATGTAATCTCAGCAATCCTTGGGTGATGAGACAGGAGGACTGAGTATTCATGAGGCCTCCACAATAATATCCTGTCTCAAAAACAAAACAGAAACCACTAAAGTAAAAATACAAAAAAATAAACCCATAAACACCAGTAGTTCACTGGTATAGAGTGGCAAGCGAGACTGACCTATTTGCCCGGTCAGCGTCTCTGGCCTCCTCCATCAGACTACCCACCTCTGGACAATTCCAGAGGCCACAAGGATGTCGGGATAGGAAAAGAAGACACACGCTGCTGAAGGCAAACCCGCAGACACCCAGGACCCCCACTCTGTGTAGGCACAGAAAGAGAGCTCAGCCACTGGTCATGGGCTCTACTGAGCTGTCTGGACAGTCTGTCCTCAAGGACTCACAGTGACAAGCCTAGAGAGCCAGGATGCACCAGGCACTGCACTGAGCGGTCCATCTGCCTTCAGCCTCACTGTCCCAACTCCCTTTTCCCTATCAGGTTGCTCTGAGAAACTGAGGCTTAGAGTCCAGCCAAGGCATAAGGAGAATCGGGCTCTTCAGAAAAGGGTCTGTGTTCCACAGTTTTCCTCTCTTAAGGTGAAGCATGGGGATTTGCACCAAGGTGGCTAGGGTTGGAGAAGAGGTGGTGTCGCCCAACGAACATCATTTATCAACTTTCAATGAATCTTTCTCGCATGCAGACTCTATCCACACACTCTTCTATAAGCTCGGGTAATAGCTGTCAGTCCTACCATGCAGTTAAGGAAACAGGCACAGAGAGGGTAAGGGACATGCCCAAAGGCACACAGCTGTAAGAGACAAAAAGTTTGATTTTACTGCTGCCAGTTTAGCTCCAAAGTCCTCACTCACTCTCTTAGCCAAGTAGTGACAACAACTGCTCTTTTAGGATTTGCTATTTCCCCAGGTGGCCTAACTCGGTCTCTGTGGCACCCCTCCTCCTAAGTGCCATTAGTCCCAACTTCGCTCCTACTGGCTAAATCTGAAAAACCTGCCTTCAACCCCAGGCCCTGCTGAGATTCCCCCCTAGGAGGCTAGAGTTGGGTACTTTCGAGGCAGTTCTCAGCAGACCCGAACATGGGGTGTCCCAGCTCAGGGCCAAGGGTGAGGGCACTCACCTCTGGGAAGGCCCCATTGGCGAAGACCATCATCAGTGACGTCTTCCCGCAGCCCCCGTCGCCCACCAGGACCACCTTGACCGAGCGCCCGCTGTGCGGCGCCTCCTCTCCCGCAGCCTGGGACGCGTTCATCCCGGGCTGGCGGACGGCGGTGCGCGGAGCGGCAGGCGGTACGCGGTACGCGGCGGGCTGGCTACGGCGGGCGCGGGGCTGGCCCGGCGGGACAGGAATGTGGAAGGGGCGGGGCGGCGGGAGGAAGTGGGAGCGGGGCGGTCGGGGCAGAAGGCGGACGGGGGCGGAGGACACCCAGCTCAGGTGAGAAGCCTTGGGCAAGATGGGGGTGCGGCGCCCGGCCAGGGGTGGACGCTCCTGGGGTCTGGTCTCCCGGCGTCCTGTCTAAGCACTCAAGAAAGACTTTTGCAGCACCTCCTGCGTGCGGTCACTGAGGCTGCAGGGGTGGGCGGAGACCTACGCCTCCAGAGGGCACCCAGGGCTCGTGGGAGAGAAGTAGACAAGTACTTGAAGAGAGGCTGGGGACAAGGAAGGAGGAAGCATCTGGACTATCTGCTATGGGTGGGAGGTGATTTTTATGAATGAATGAATGAATGAATGAATGAATGTTAGTTTCTGCTATTTGAGGACCTCCTCCAGATGTTATAGGTCAGATGAGAAGGGAGTGGCCCGGACATTCCCTTGTGGGTCACTTCAGGACCTCTTCAGCCAGCACCAGGAAGCTTCAATGAAGGTGAATTACCACGCGTCTCACCCAGGCAGCCAATGATTTAAGGAAAACTATGGAACCTTCTGTTTGTAGAGCTCAGAGCTGGCTCTGGCACATGGCTGATGCATGGATGGTTCATATTATACAGTATGATGACCTTATAGTATATAGTATTTATTTTTAAGTTTTTTTTTTAAATATTTATTTATTTATTTTATTGATGAGTACACTGTAGCTGTCTTCAGACACACCAGAAGAGGGCATCCAATCTCATTACGGATGGTTGTGAGCCACCATGTGGTTGCTGGGATTTGAACTCAGGACCTCTGGAAGAGCAGTCAGTGCTCTTAACCACTGAGCCATCTCTCCAGCCCTATTTTTAAGTTTTATTTTTTACGTGTGTGGGCGTTTTATCTGCATGTATGTCTGTGCACCCTGGTGCCTTCTCTACGCGGAAGCCCTGGAACTGCAGTTACAGACCTTATGAGCCACCATGTGGATGAACCTGGGTCCTCTCAAAGAGCAGCCAGTGTTTTTAACCTCTGACCCATGTCTCCAGTTCTTTGGTATAATGTTTAATCAATGCAGATGGTCCTTAGTTTCTTAGAGTCTGGGGACCCTGCACTGTTCTGATCAAAACCTCTACTGTGAGAAGCTTAGAATGGGAGGTGTCAGGGGACAGGAGAAAGGAAAAGGGGCTCTTCATCTGGGGTAGATAAGGAGGACCTTCAGACAGGAGAGGCAGAGTTTTCAGGAAAAAGAAACAGGTGTTTCAAACAGAACACCGAAGAAGCTGGAGCAAGGTAGCCACGCCCCCCACTTCTTAGCGACGTGACAGAGGGCGGGACTTGGCTGAGTCGCTAGTATCTGGATGGTGAGTGGAGCATTTTGGATTTCAGGAGTAAATTTTACTGTTCTCTAAGTCTCCGCATCCTTCTTTGTGATCAGATTTTTCTTTTTAACTTTTAGTGAGCATAAGTGGGTTGGAAATGAGGCTGTGTTGCTAGAATGCTTAACTAGCATGCATGAAAGTCTAGGGTCCATTCCCAGTTCCACATAAACTGGACTCGGAGAGTCTAACTCCAATACTGATGAGGTGAAGGTAGGAGGATCTGAAGTCAGTGTCAGCTTGGCTGTACAGTGAAGTTCAAGGCCTGCCTAGGCTAGATAGTCTGTCTAAAAAAGAGAAGAGAAAGGTCTCGCCTGTCTCCCCAGACCTGGGACTGGGTGTTTACATGGAAGCTACATGGTCAGAAGTCTTTGGGTTTCACCTCCCACCTCCACACTGGTCAGGACTTCATCTCCCATTGTATTCAAAGTCAGGCAGGTGACAATGACCTTCAGCCCTATTTGATCCTTATTGTATCTCAAGGAGGCAGTTTCCACTTTCCCTCGGGCCAGAGGTCAGCTGCTCGGAAGGAGCCTCTCCCAGAGCCTTCCAGCTCCACCTTTTGGATGCCCCTTCCCCGAAACTGCCACAGGGCTGGGCAGGACTTGGCATGAAGCTGGGTGTGTAGTTGAGCAGGATGCCCAATAAAAGGAGTGGTGAGGAGGGGCCCTACCCCCACCCCCAACACTCTAGTCAGCTGTCAGCCTAGTCATCCCTGCTGCTGTCAGCAGGCCAGCCTGGGAGGCAGGTGGAGCTAGAGGAGGGAGGGTGGAGGGAGCTGAGAGTCAGGCAGAGGCGGCCTTCGTTGCTATAGGGATAATCACTCTAATGACACACTTGACAACTCTCACACTTTACAGCACATACTAATGGGTGTTAGCTGCTATGCAGGGACTGTCCATCAGGAGGCAGGATTTGCTAGCTCCATTTTACAGAGAAGGAAACTGAGGCCTAGAGAGGGTGACTTCTTAAGGACCCTAAGGCTGTCCCCAAATCTCACTTCTTGTACATTACTGCTCTCACACTGTGAGGTAGGCTTCTGCTTCTTGTTTTGGAGACTTGGGGATTGAATCCCAGAGGGAGGCCGATGTTTGGCTTGGGCCAATTCGACCGAGAGCCAGGACTTAGTCTAACCATGTCTAGTCCAGCCTCACCAACACTCTTATGTTCAGGTTCCTGTGAGAGGCATATCAGTCAGTCACTGACCCATGGCCATCTGCCCTGGTAGCCAGGAATTTCCCCAAATCTGACATTGCTGGACTCTGGACTACACTGTTTTCCTGAAGTTTATTTTTGGAGTGGGGTGGGGTAGCCACATAGTTGGCCTCACTGGGGTGCTGTTTGCTGTTTTTCTGTTTACTGTGGCTGCTGCTGACTTCCGGTCTGTGACTCAGCCCCCTCCAGGCCCCATCAATTCCAAGCTGAAAATCCTTCATGAACCCCGTGTAGCATGTGACTGCCCTGCAGGCCTCAGAATGGCAGGGGAGGTGGGGCCAGCATCGTCTGGAATGTTGTTATTGGTGCTGCAGGTCTCCAGCAGAGCCATGACCACCTCCAGAGCAGGGGCCACAGCTGACCCATTTCTGTACCCCAGACTATCTCAGACTGGCGCCAGCTGTGGTTCCGGATATCATGTCTAAATGACAGGCTGGCTGGACAAACACAGCAAGAGAAAGAAAAGGATAAATGAAGAACAGAGGGAGGAAAGGACGGGAAGCAGAGGGGGCAGGAAGGAAGAGAGAAGGGAAGGAAGTGGGGTTTGAAAGAGCAAAACTGGCCAAATGGCAAAGTGTTGTGGTGGTACATGCCTGAAACCCCAGCACTCAGTAGGCAGCGATTCTCTGTGAGTTCAAGGCCAGCCTAGTCTATATAGCAAGTTCCAGGCCAACCAGGGTTTTGTAGTAAGACCCTGCCTCAAAAATAAACCATAAGTACAGCAAACAGACGAGATGAAGGAGAAGTGCACATAACACTTGACAAGAGGTGTGTTGTGCTCGGCAGAGAAGTCATTACCTTCCACCATCTACTTGCTCCAAGGACAAACCTAAGTTTCTGCCCCATTTTCTGGCCCCCTCTGTATTTCCCTGCAGCTAGACATCGCAGGCTGTTCTGATTCTTTACTGCCACTCTGTGGCCACTTTGCTCTCTGCAGGTCATTACTTGGGCTTTTCCCTGGGGTTCCTGGTCTGGGGTGCTGGGTGTTTGTGTGGCTATGGTCTTGTCTCTGGGAAGGCTTAGCAGGGCCCACTGATCTGCGGTGCATTTCCCTAAGCCTTTGTGTGTGCACTTTATGGCTTCGCTCTTTAGTTCCATCCATTAGATTCCGGAAGCCCTTGGGCTCAGCAGAGACTATGCCACTCAAACCTAGCCCTTGGCACATGACATTTTATTCTGTCCTTTGATGTACATATGATTCCTATGCACCTTTGAAAAATGAAGAAACAAGGAGCTCGAAGAGGATAGTTTGACTAAGGTCCAGTTGACAGTTGGAGGAGCTAAGCCTCAAATCCAATCATTGAGTTCCAGAGTTTGTTCATACAGAATCTTCAAAAATTATGCCAGGGTGGTGACAAATGTCTCTAATCACAGCATGTGGGAAGCAGGGGCAGGAGAAATAGGAGTTTGGTGTTATCCTTATTTACAAAGTGAAATTTTATTGTTGTTTTTGTGTTTTTTAAGACAAGTTCTCTGTAGCGCTGGCTATCCTAGAACTCACTCTGTAGAGTGAGGCTAGCCTCCAACTCAGAGATCTGCCCGCCTCTGCCTCCCAAATGCTGGGATTAAAGGTGTGTGCCACTGTGCTTGGTTTATATAGTAAATTTGAGGCCAGCTCCAGATCTGTGAGGCTCTGTATCTAAAAAACAGGGGGCAGGTGGAACGACAGCTCAGTGGCTAAGAGCTCTTGTTGCTCTTGCAGAGGACCTGAGTTCAGTTCCCAGCACCAGGTGGTAGCACACAACCAGTAACTCCAGTTCCAGGGTATTCTATGCTCTCTTCTGGCCTCTCTGGACCCAGGGCAGACACATGGTGCACATACATTCAAATAAAAATATAAAATAAAAATCCTTAAAATTTAAAAACATAAAGCCGGGGGTGTGAGGAGCCTTTTATGGGCTAACTTGTCCAACACTCTTCATTTTCAGTTGTAGAAACAGGTCCTGAGAGTGCAGTGACTTCTCACACAGCAGGTAAGCAGACCCAGGCTTTTGTCCTGCAAGACAGGACCTGGAAGATGGCCCCTCCTAAGCAGCTCCCCCGCTGCATGGACCTCCTCTTTGGCTTCCCCTCCTTCCTTGCTACTTACTGTTGGGCTTTCCCAGTGGGTGCACTGAACAGGGAGGAAGCACTGTGACCATCTCAACACTCATTTACTCTCCTAATTAACTTGTTACTCTGGGTATCTGTGGGCATAGATAGGTAGGCTCAGGCAGGAGACGGGAGGAAAGGAGGATAAGAGATGCCTTCGTTGGTGGGTGCTAAAGGACACATCTTACTCTTTGTATGGGCAGGACTGCCTCTGGCAATACTGAGTTAGTTATTGACCTTCACGCCTTTCCTTTTGGGTGGGTTCTTAGAGAGAACCTGGGCTGGAGGAATAGGAAAGAAGAAAGGGTGGGGAAGGATGGGAGCTTAGGAAAGGGGTCAGAAGTGGGAGAGGCAGGCGGATTTCTGAGTTCGAGGCCAGCCTGGTCTACAGAGTGAGTTCCAGGACAGCCAGGGCTACACAGAGAAACCCTGTCTCCAAAAACCAAAACAAAACAAAACAAAATAAAAAAAAAACAAAAAACAAACAAACAAACACAAAAGTGGGAAGAGACAGGTGAAGGGAGTCATGAAAGGAGATGGGATTAGGGGTAATTCACCCTCAGCCATCCTGCTTTCTCTCCAATAGAGCCTCTGATTATTTAGAAAAAGATTTAATTGGTACTTTATATGTTGTATGTATTAGTGTTTTGCCTGCATGTATGTAAGTGAGTCACAAGCATGACCTAGAGGGCACCAGATCCTCTGGAACTGGAATTCTAGACTTGGGAGTCACCATGTGGGTGCTTGAAATCAAACCTGGGTCCTCAGCTAGGGCAGCCAGTGCTCTCAACCTCTGAGCCATCTCTCCAGCACTGAGTAGCCCTCACCATTTTTTGTTTGTTTGTTTGTTTTTGGTTTTCAAGACAGGGTTTCTCTGATAGCTTTGGCTGTCCTGGAACTCACCCTGTAGACCAGGCTGACCTTAATTTATAGAGATCTGCCTGTCTCTGTCTCCCAAGTGCTGACTGGGATTAAAGGTGTGCCACCACTGCCTGGAGAACACCTCATACTTTGAGTTCTCTTTAATGAACCCCAAACCTAGAAACTGTTTAGTGATCTGCCCTGCTCACCCTTCTGCCTACGGCTGTGCTTGCTCACTTCTCTTACAGGTCCTCAGCTCCCCACTGAGCCCTTTCCTGGTCCCCTCTTGTCAGCAAAGACCTTCTGCCTCATCTGGGGTGTTGGTGCCGTCAAAGCCCATCTCCCTCAACCTCTCAAGTGTCTGCCAGGCTATGGTTCTCCAGACATGGGACACTAACTAGTCTGTGGTCTCTGACCTGTGACCTACCGGGGATGCTGGGAATTTAACAAATTCTTTGTTCTTAAGCTGTGCAGTGGTAGTGCACATCCTAGCACTCAGGAGGCAGAGGCAGCCAGGGCTACACAGAGAAACCCTGTCTTGGGGAAAAAATTTATTCTAGAGAATTCCACACATGCATACAATGAATGTGATCAGAGCCGCAGCATCTGCCCCTTACTGAGACGCTGAGAATTCTCTTCTTGCTCATGAGCTCCCGGGGAAAGAAAAGGAGAGGAGGAAGTGTGTTAGGATCCAGAAGTTTCTCAGCTGGCCTTCAGGGACTTTTGAGGAATTAGAAAAAGACCAATAGGCTCTCCAACCATATAGCCTGAACTTGATCATAAGTCTGTGATTTTCTTGTTGTGTGATCTCAGGCGTGTCTCCGAGTCTGGTGTCTACACCTCTGTAAGGGGAATGGCACAGTTGCCTGCCTTTAAGTGCATCTGGTCTGCAGCCCAAGCACCAATTCTCAGTGTTCTTGTAAAGCCCTTTCCCATCCCTGGTCTATGTTTTGCCCCCACCCCTATCCCCTGGCTCTCCATCCCCTCCCAATGTGGTAGCAAGGCAAAGAACTCTGCCCAGTGTTTGTCGCTTCCTGTACTCCTGTGATGTGCTGTTACTAGGATGCTTTTCCTACATATTGAATATTCTTCAGTCTCACCACCAGGAAGCCTTCCTTGACTTCCCAATACCCTTCTTCCCCAACCAGGGCTGGTACTGAGATCCCTCTTCAGAACTTCCCTTGTAGATTGAAGATAGCCTCCCTTGCCAGGAATGAAGGACCCAGTACCCCTGTGGGGCCCAAGGTTTAGATACGGTCCCAGTAAAGATAGTAAAATGATTACTCAAGGCTGAGCAGGGGTCCCTGTAAGCCTCCTTCCTGCCCCAGTTTTATTTTGTTTCAAGAATCATTCCAGGCAGCATTCCTGGCTGCCACCACAGCCATCTGGGCACACTGTCAACGTTTCATGCAGTATAGAAGGAAGGAACAACGGGATGGAGGGTGGGGGGTGTGGTCTGCTCTGCAAAGCCATTGGATTAGTCTGGGCTAATTAGCCTTGTCCAGATGACAAGGCCTGGCCCAGCCACCACTATCCCTGGCCCGTTTTTAACCTCTTGATATTGGCCACAGGGTGAGACGCTTCAGTGGGTCCAGTTGTGGCTGGTGTCCTGCTGACCTGTGTCCCTATCCTAGCCGCCCTTCTCCTCGTCACTGACCGTAGTGATTAGACCTGCTTCCACCTGGGCCTCCATGATTCATTAAGGCCGAGGACCAGAGCCCTCTTCTTACCACTCTCATGCCCACTACCCTTTTAAACCTTTAGTGCCAGAGAGGAGCCAAAAGCCACCATTTCTCTGGGAGAACTGCCTTCTCAAGTGACAGCCAGCACCTCGCTTATGGTGTGATCCCCTCACTAACTCTGACCAGGTGGGAGTCAAAGAACGATTCTGGTACTGGTGTACACCCCAGTCCCTTGCATATGAACATCATTTTCTCCAGAGTTCTTATTGGCTTGAGACTAAGGCTAGATATCCTTGTAGTCTCCATTTTAGAGAACTTGACCTAAAATTCCTAGGGTTGGATTTAGACCGACCTGACATCTTCCTTTCAAGAGAAACCTGGCCTGGAAGGACACCAGCCAACACTGGTGAATCTGTGCTGATTTGCTTTGGATCCACACAAGGACCTGGATCTGGGCCACTGGGTACTTCTGGCTCCCTCAGGAGTGGATGGTCAGGGGAGCCTTCATGTGGCCTACTGGTTTCTGTTGGGCCTGGCCTCCTGGCCTCTTCCTGTGTTCACTGCAGTGGGCAGAGTCTGTGTTTGAGATGGACTAGTTTGTGTCTCTTCTATTGTTTGACTGCTTACCACAATCCCCATGACCCCCATGGTAAATCTTGGGTGCATTTTTTTTCTCCAACCCTCAAAGTGAAACTCCTTCCTTGTCTGAGAGATCCTCACTGTTACCCCAGACCTCAGGGCTCCTTCCCAAGTTCATCTGTTCCGGTTGTTACTTGGCACTGAACCGAAAAATCAGGATGGGAGAGGAGCATCTTGAGTTCCTGGCATCCTGAGTGCTATGTCTCATTTATATTAGCCCTGTCACTACAGGAACTGTCTCCTCAAGACTTATTAACGTCTGTCCTCTAGGAGAATGGCAGAAGGGGAGTTGGCCAGTTCTGAAACCCACATCCCTCTGCGGGCCAAGGAACATACTTCCTAAGGCTCTTCAATACACAGTTGGTCAGTCTGGTAGGTCCCCAGACAGCTACAGGTAGTCCTCAGTGGAGAAATTACCCAGGGTGCCCAGATGATGAGCCACACCCATTTTTCCATGACAGTCTGGATAGAGGATCCAAGATGGCTGATGAGGACCCCCGGGAGGTGGGGCGGCTCTGGTGTTCACAGCTCCAGCTGACTGTGGAGAGGTCATTGCTGGACAGAACTGAGATAGTGCCAGGCTCTGAAGACTCTGCTGCCCACCCGGCCTGCCCTGGCTGTTAGTTTCGCCGGACTGGATGCCACATGGACACAGGCCTGCGCAGCGTGGCCAGCATCTGGTTCCAGTGTGTGGTGCCCATGCCACTGGCCCCTGGCCCAATGATGACATGGCCCACGTTGTCCCCACGGCCGTCACTGCTGCTCTCAGCCACTGTCACTCGGAGAGACAGGTCCTGGGGAGAAGGTGACATGAAAGATTGGGACCAGGAGCAGCTGAAGGGTTCTCCCTGGCTCTCAGGCTCCAAGGCCCTGTGAGGTGCACACAGCTCTTTGAGTCTTCCCATCTGACTTGGAAGAAGAGACTTGTCCTAGTTACTTCCAGATGGATAGCCAGCTGCAATGTGACCTTGCTAAGTGCTAAAAAGTGACAGTCCCAGCAGGATTCAAATCCATCTCTCACTTCTCTGTCCCTCAACATTTTTTCTTTAAGATTTATTTTATTTCTGAGTTTGAAAAGATGGGTAAGCAGTTAAATACACTTGCTGTTCTTGCAGAAGACCTTTTTTTAAGTCCCAGCCCCCACATGTTGACTCAGTAACTCCAGGGTATCTGAACCCTCTTTGTGGGTATCTGGCATGCATGTTATGCACAGACATACATACAAGCAAAATACTCATACCCATAAAATAATAAAAACCTTAAAAAGATTTTATTTTAAATTATGTATGTCTGTAATGTGCATATGAGTACAGGTACCCACAGAGACCAGAAGAGGGTGCTGGATCCTCTGGAGTTGAGATTATAAGCACTTGTGAACCATCTGATGTGAGTGCTGGGAACTGAACTTGGGTCCTTTGCTAGAGAAGTATGTCTCTTAACCACCAAGCCATATCTCCATCCCTGCTTGTTCTTGAGATAGGGTCTCATAGCCCAGGCTGGCTTTGAACTTGCTATGTAGTTGAGGCTGTATTTGGATACCTGATCTTCCTGCCTTGGCATCTGAAGTACTAAGATAACAAGTGTATGCTTCTGTATCTGGCTTAGAACTTAGGCTGTTTGTTTGTTTGTTTGTTTGTTTGTTTTGGTTTTTAAAAAATACCCTTTAAATGTGTATAAGTGTTTGCCTGCATGTATGTATATGCATCACATGCATACAATGCCCAGAGAAGCCAGAGGAGGGTGCTGGATCCCCTGGAATTGGAGTTACAGGTGGTTGTGAGCCACCATGTGGTTGCTGGGAACTGAACCCAGGTCCTCTGGAAGAGCGGCAGTGCCCTTAACCATAGACATCTCTCTAGTCCTTTGCTTTTGTTTGTGAGCAGAGCCCTTGTTAGTCTGCAGTTTACTATGTAGAGCAAGATGGCCTCAAACACATAGAGATCAACCTGCCTTTTTCTCCTGACCTGGAACTAAAGGCCTGTGCTATCGCTGCCTGGTTGTTACTAGTTCAGGCTGGCCTCAAATTTCCTATAGAGTAGAGGATGACCTTGAACTTCTGATTCCCTTGCTTCTACCTCCTGAGTGCTCCACCATGCCTAGTTTATGAGGTGGTGTGTGTGTGTGTGTTGGCAACCCAGGATGTTTTATGTGCTAAGCAAGTGTTCTGCATCTGGCTACACCCCAGCCAGGACTTGGGCCTTTGCTACCTGTTTCTTTGTCTTTAAAATGTGACAGCATTTCCTACCTCACAGGGCTGTTCTAGGAAGAAAACTAATTAAACATGTAGGTGGAGGGGGACATAAAAATAGAGAGGAAAATGTGTGGCTCCTCCTTGCCCATTGTTAAAGCACATAAAGTGGCCTTCACCGTCACTGGCATAGTCTTGTCAGATCACAGCTGAGGGTCAGAGTTCAGTAAGAACATACTTGAGACATTGGCTTAACTGTTCTTACCTCGTCCCCCAACAGCTTCAGGTTTTGGAGACCGGAGGGAAGCGGCATTGTGATAAACACAGCAAAAGCAGGAATCAAATGGGTCAACATTCTAATATGGAATAAGGTTATGCTCCCTGGACCAGCCAGACATGCTGGGATGTTGCCTGGATTCCTAGATTTGGGACACCCAAAGTGAGGCTGACATCCAGCTTTCAAACTATAGGGGCTGACAGGGTGGCTCAGTGGTAAACTGATTGCTTAGCATACACAAAGCCTCGGGTTCATTATCAGCACTGAAAAACAGAAGAAATCCCAAGAGCATCTCCAAGAGGGGACTAGGCAGGCCTGGACTGCATACCAGACTTTAGCTCAAGGGCTAAAGGACTTTCTTTGTTGTTGTTTTGAGACAGATTTCTTATTGTAGCTCTGCCTGTCCTGGAACTTGCTCTTTAGACCAGGTTGTCCTCAAACTCACAGAGATCTGCTGCCTCTGTCTCCTGAGTTCTGAGATTAAAGGTGTGCATCACCAACTGGTGGTGGTGATGAGGTCTCAGCAGGGTCCTTGCAGTAGGAACTCTGAGGGTGTAGGCCTACAGCCTGGGCCCTGGGGTTGCCTCTAGCTCACCTTCAAGCAGTGCAGGTCCTCTACTGGGAGATCTCTTCTTCAGAGCTCAGCTTAGTTGTCCCCTCATGCAGAAAGCCTCCCCTGACTAATCCTGAGGAAGCTCCCATTGGGAATTACAAAGTGGGGACTCCTCTGTCTGTCCTTCATAGGCATCAAGAAAGTAGTGCTTGGGTCCCCAATCCTCACCCTAAGGCTGACGCCTAGTCTCTGGCTCCATCAGTGATTAACTAGAAGGGGGTTGGCTTGAGGTCCCAATAGGCAACAATGAAGGGGCGCAGTGGCCCAGTCCTGTGAGTATCCAGCCCACCTCACCTGTAGCACAATGGCTGGTACTGAGAAGATCATGGCTTCGTTGAACACTGGGTTGGGGTCATCCTTCTTCACAGCTGTCTTCTTCTTGCTCATCTTCCTCCCATCCTGCAGCAGGTATACTTTGACGAAGGGGTCTACAGGCAGGTAGGGGCAAGGGTCAGTGACCCTGACTACTGTGGCTCCACCCACTGCCTCTAATTCCCTGACCCTTGGCTACTGGGGCTATCTCTAAAGCCCACTGTTTGGTATTTAATTATTTATATTAAGAAATGGGAGGTTCTGGGGAGAGGAGGGAGGGAAGCTGGATCGGGATGTGATAGCAGACTCGGGCAGCACACTGCACATTCTCATTCTATTAGTAACCTGAGTGCAGACGGCAGGCCTGAGTCACTGTGTGCAGAGCCTAACAGTGTACACTCTGAGATACCGAGTCTCCCTACTGTTGCAGGATAGTGTTAGTTACTGGAAAAAAAACAAAACAAAACCCTTTTCTAGTTGTGGTGTGGCTCAGCCCTAGTACACACCTTTAATCCACAAGCTTTCTGGCTATTGTAAACAGGATTAAATAAAGTCAACTATAGGCTAAGATCTCGGTGGAGAAGCAGCCAGTTAACAGGAAGCGAACAGAGGATTATTAAGAAAAGAACAAAGAGAGTAAGAGGGAGTCAGGAGGACGGATAGAGAGGTAGGCGTACAGGAGGTCAAAGGAAGGGACACTGAGTTTGAAGGAGGCTGAGAGGTTTGTTGAGTGAGGGAGGGGAATTCCTAGTGGGATGTTGGCTGAGGAGGAAGGTCAGCTGGGTGCTTTCTCTGCCTCTCGGAGCCAGCATGCTTTCTCCCCAGCGTCTGGCTCCTAAGTCTTCATTGGTAAAATCAAATGATTGAGATTTGTTAAAAGGAAAAAAAACACTCTATTGCCTGAGGCCCTAGGTTATCAAGTCCAATAGGTCCCTGGCATCTAGGGTGTCAGAGTCTCTAGGCTGCTTCCTCATCTCTGAGCTCAAGTTCTGATGAATGGATGCTCACCTTCCATCTCTTGCCCAGTGCCACAGCCCAGAGCGCTCAGGTTCCATCAGTTTCCCCTTTACCTTCCACAACCTAGGCCGCCGTCACCCTCCAGGGTTCTACTATTTCTGTAGCTGAATTAACCTTTCCACTGCGCCTGGTGCCTGAGCTTAGCTAAAGCCACAGGGGCTCTGATGCTGTGCCTCATACCTGCTCAGAACATGACAGCTCCCCCTGAGCCTCATGGAAGAGCTGAGTACACAGGCCCTCACCTGCTGTGGTCTTCTCATTAGTCCAGATGAGATTCTTGGCTTTCACCACAACCACAGTCAGACGCTCAGCTGTGGGCAGGTAACTGAGGGACAGCAGGATCTCTCCCACAGCATCAGCAGCCTGTGGAGACAGGAATGGCTCAGAAGTCTTCTGCCCTCCAGGCTTCAAGAGGTCTGGGGCAGGGGTGGGCAGGAGGTGGATGGTTTCTTCTCCATTGGAAAATTGTTGCTTTTGGGGTAACTCTTAAACGTAGACATCAGGCTGACAGGATTGAGAAAAGGACAACCCACCCACACAAGGGAGCATACACAGACCCTCCTCACGCCGAGTGGAAAGCATGTCCTGGAAAGAGGCCCAGAGGCTGCCTGTCAAGTGCATTAATCAGATGCAGTTCTGTTCCCTCATTGTGAGCTGAGGAAAACATTCTATGACTAGTGCATAGAGATCCAAGCTGACAGTATTTGCTTAAGTAATAATGTTCCCTGGCATTGTTACGAGGCTAAAAGTAAGCTTCAGCTTGGCCTCTGTCTGAAATAACCCACTATCAGGCCAGTAGCTTATAGGAGTAGAGCCTCTAATGATTTGGTAGTCACCACTGAGATGAGGGCCTGGAGAGATGGCTCAGCAGCTGAGTACTGCGTGCTCTTCCAGAGGGCGCAGGTTCATTCCCAGCACCCACAGGGCAGCTCACACACATCTGGAACTCCAGTTCCAGGCAATGGGGTGTCCTCTTCTGACTCCCTTAGGCATGAGATGTGCACATGGACACATATATACATTCAGGCAAAACACTCAAAAAGTAGAACAAATAAATAAAATATAGAGGGCTGGAGAGATGGCTCAGGGTTAAGAGCACTGACTGCTCTTCCAGAGGTCCTGAGTTCAATTCCCAACAACCACATGGTGGCTCACAACCATCTGTAATGGGATCTGATGCCCTCTTCTGGTGTGTCTGAAGACAGCGACAGTGCACTCACATACATACATTGAATAAATCATTCATTTTGTTTTGTTTTGTTTTTTGAGACAGGGTTTCTCTGTGTAGCCCTGGCTGTCCTGGAACTCACTCTGTAGACCAGGCTGGCCTCGAACTCAGAAATCCGCCTGCCTCTGCCTCCCAAGTGCTGGGATCAAAGGCGTGCGCCGCCACCGCCTAGCATAAATAATTCTTTAAAAAAAATAAAATATAGAATAAAAATAAATTGTTGGGAGGTGGTGGTGCAGGCCTTTAATCCCAGCACTCCAAAGGCGAAGACAAGCAGATCTCTGTGAGTTTGGGTCCACCCTGGAGAGAGTTCCAGGACAGCCAGGGCTACACAGAGAAACCATGCCTCGAAAACCCAACAAAATAAAATAAGGAAGATAAATAAATAAATGTTAAAAAAAATTAAAAAGAACAAAGGAGAGGGCTCGGGATGGTGCAGTGGATAAAAGCATTTGCCATTAACCCCAGTGATCTAAGTTCAATACCAGCCACACACATGGTGAAGGAGAGAACTAACTTGTGGAAGATAAGTGGTCTTCTGACTTCCACATGCATCCTCTGCGTGTATATGCATGCCCCAACACGTATACACACAGAAAACACAGTAAATAAATAAATACAGTATA